TGGGTTATCAGCTTTTTTGTTAAAAAACTTGCGCTGAAGAGCTTGCAATAGCTTGGTGTCCCTTATTTCAGCGATCTCTGAGGAATGTCATAGCATATTACAATCATTGCCTGATACCAAAGATACCCCCTGAGTAGAAGTAGACCCACATTATGTGCACCTTTTCAGGTGCTTGCGCACCAACAAGGCTGCTGGGCCAGATGGGTTATCAGCTTTTTTGTTAAAAAACTTGCGCTGAAGAGCTTGCAATAGCTTGGTGTCCCTTATTTCAGCGATCTCTTGATACCCACACTGTGCCAGCTCTGTGGAAAAAGTCATACATAACATCAATTCCTAAAAAACCTGGTGCTAGAGCAAATAATGATCTTCGTCCTGTGGCTTTGGCTTCAAATGTCATGAAGTGTTTTGAGAAATGTGTAATCTCATTGCTGGGAAAAGAAGTAGAGCCACTATTAGACACCTGTCAGTTTGTCTATAGGCAGAACAGGAGCACGGAGGATGCTGTTCTTAGCATTGTTCATCTTGTGTCTAAGCATCTTGAGAACACTAAAGCCTATGCTCGTATTTTATTTGTTGATTTTAGTTCAGCACTTAATACAGTGCAGACACATTTGCTTTTAGAGAAGCTGTATGGCATGGGTGTCAGTACTCTTTTAATCAAATGGTTTTATTCTTTTGTAAGTAACAGAACTCAGCAGGTTAGAGTCAATGGGACACTTTTCTGAGGTCAGATATAGTAGCACAGGAGTGCCACAAGGTTGTGTTTCGTCGCATGTGCTTTTTGCTTTATACACGAATGACTGCAGGAGCACATATATTAATAATTATATTATGAGTCTTTTACACAAAGATATGGACCTATCGTCCTACCACAGTTAAATAGATACTTTCATTCAGTGGTGTGACAAGAACTGTCTTGTGCTAAATGTAAATAAGACAGAAGAAATGGGCCTTGACCCAAGAAGTGTATCTGAACACAAGCCTGTGATCATTAAAGACAGTGCCACAGCAAGTGACATCTTACAGATAGCTGGGGTATTATATGGACAATGTTCTTTGTTGGAAGACACACATTGACAGTCTGTGCACACGACTACAACAGAGGCTTTATTTGTTAAGAAGGCTGAGACTGTATGGGGTGGATAGCAATATCTTGCTTCTGTTTTACCAAGCCACGCTTGAAAGTCTTATTCGCTACGGAATTACAGTCTGGTTTGGAAACTTGTCTGTTCACCTGAAAAACACACTGGCTCATATTCACAAAACAGCTATGAAAATCCTAGGAATAAATCAACATGAGCCCATACAGACTTTACATGAGCAGGCAGTGATGAGAAGAGCAATAAGTATCTGTACTGATTCCAAACATCCTCTTTTCAGTCATTACCATCGTATAAGAGACTAAAAATGCCAATGTGTAAAACTAATAGACTGAAGCTTTCATTTGTTCCTGCCTCGATAAAAATGCTGAATTTTACCAAAAACAATGCCCATATAGCATATTAGCACTTTATTGTGTTTTGCACTGTATGTATTTTGCATTTTATACTTATATATTGTTGTTGTGTGTTTTCTTTTTGATCTGTTTTATTGATTGTTTTTGTCTGTTCAGAACAACACTGTAGCACTTTGGCCAAGACAAATTTCCTTTCGGGGACAATAAAGTGTATCCTCATTAGTGATGCGCGGATGGCGGATAATCCGTGGGTCGGGTAATACAAACATGCATTCTGATTATTCGCGGGTGGATAAAATAAATCATTAACGATGCAAGTATTAACTACATTTTCTAAATTATGAACGTGTTTTAAATAGGCTACAGAAATTGAATAAAGTGTAAATTAACATTAAAAGTTATTCAACAAAACATTATTTAGTCAAGAGCAGTAAGTTTTGTTGTTTGATTAACATTAATAAAAGACGGCACAGCTAGGCTGCTGTCACAGGACCTATTTCACGGATCCGATACTGATACTCGTGCGTTTTATTTTGCAGCTGTTTACATTAACTTAAGACAAACCCGACAGTACTTTCTCAGTTTGGTACTCGCAGCACGCGCTCTGGATGTGACTGTGAGCGCACGCGCCTCTGGAGAGCACGAGTACCGAATGGCTTAAAAAGACGTGAAAATAATACATTTTTGTGATGATGCAACAATGACCGATCAGGCAATTGACAATTCTGTCAACTGTCCCGAAACGCGAGCTAAAGTCTTCTATCGCAGCGTGCAGCAGCTGCGTCGATGTGAAACGAAAGTCAAAGAGAGAAGACCCGGTACAGCTGAATCACTCACGCTGTTTTCATCTGATGGTTTGTGTGGATTTATTTACTCATCTAACCTACACGCTATATTGAATAAAGGTTTTGCAGTAATTTCCCTCATTTTAAAGTCGAAAGCTGCGGGAATGAGTAATGCGATGTATGCGCAATCCCGCAACGAAATTCAGGATCTGATTAAACATAATTCTATTATACAGAGAATTGTGAAATAGATTTTCATGACTTTTCAAAAACTTGAGTTTATTTATTTTTACAAAACTTTCTAGGCCTGGAAATTGCTGTTCAATGACTTTTCCAGGTTTTTTATGACCGTACGAACCCTAATGTGATGATCGGGTGCGGTTATCTAAATCAGACAGAAATACAGGGGCGGGCGGATCATTTATTTGAAGCTGCGGATTCGGGTGACGTTTTAGCTCATCACTAATCCTTATCCTTATATACTCAAATAAAAAAAAACATTTTGTGTGAAAGCCAATGACACAGAAAGGAGTTTTCCGATTGGCTGCAGCTGGGTTCCTGATGGTTAATTAAGCTGATTACAAATAACCGGACGGTCCGTCATCAGCTGCTCCTCTACGGCTCTCATCCAGCAGTGATGACGTCAGATCGCGCGGCTCTCAGGTGAATAATGTTCGCAGAGAATCTCATTCTAATCTAACCTTAACACTTCAGTTATTTCAGCATTTTTAAGCATTTAGGTGTAAATTAGCAGCAGACTGTGTTTTCACATGCATCCGTCTGATCGCAGATCATGTCAATGCTGACGTGTGTGTGTCTCTCTCAGGTCCGCTGTGCTCGCGCTGTGTCTGCTCGGCGTGCTCGCGCTGGAGTGTCATTACTGCCCCCTGCAGGCCGCGGGCACGCGCTGCAACGTCACCACGGAGTGCCGCGGGCACGAGCGCTGCTCCTCCGGATGGAGGCGTTACGGGCGCGTGCACGTGCTCGCCGTCCAGGGCTGCGCGCCCCCGGAGCTCTGCGGCTCG